TATAGTTCTCTTTAAAACATTATGAACAGGTACGGCGAACCTATCCACTGCTTCTGTACTACACGCAGTAGAAACACTAAAAAAGACACCTGAAACCTCTTGTAATGTCATCACCTGTACATTTTTCACCAATTTATTCTGTACAAGAATTTGGCTAGTTACCATTTGAGAAACTTTTTTATGAATTGGAATTTTTTCAGGTATTACCGCCGTTCCTCCTACAGCTGTGGTTGTTACTGCTGCTGATGCTATTGTCGTTGTTTTTGTTGTCACTGGTAATAAAGATGATACTGGTGAACGTTTCCAAAACCTTTTCCGTCCATAAAAACTTGTTTGATATAAATTCCTAGTCTCTTCAAAACGATTTAATTGTCGTACTGCTCTACACATTCCTTGTAACTCTGAAGCATTCCAAGTAAGAGGTACATCAGTTTTCAAGGTATCAATTAAAATATCTGTAGCGTCATTTATAAATTGCAAACACCTTTCTTTTAATAATGAGGCATCAGTTTTAAGTACACTAGAAGATGAAGACGATAATGGTACTGGAAGTTCTGCCGCAATGATAGTAGCGTAGAATTGTATTAGCAAACAACAAAGTGAGTTTGATTTGGTAAACAGAGACCACCTTTGTTCTACAGTAACTACAAGATTTGCCACAGCATCCCATGTTATAGTATTACACTGATCAAGTTCATCACAGCAAACTTCCATAACAAGAGAAAATTGTATTTATGTATATTTATGTGTATTATTCTTGATGGCCCGTTCCATTGGAGTAACGTCCATAAAGTGACGAAGAACAAAAAGAAAAATATGGTGGTGTGTTGTGTGTTGGGGGGTCCTTTTTGGGTTGGGATGGAAGGGGATATGTTTGATCGTACCCTCCTAGTGCACACCATAGAGTAAAGGACGTGTGTGTTTGATTGAGTGGGTGTTTTTTTTTTTTTTGCTGATAATCCTGTGGAAGGAGAAGAGGAGATGAACCGGCATTCTGAGGGAAAAATAAAATAATGGTAATAGGGATAAATAAAGAGGTAATATGTGTGTGTGAGAGAGAGTAATTGTGTGTTGCCTCTGTTTGTAAAGAGTGGCATGGTATTACAGTGATGTATGCAGTCATTTTTGTTTATGGTTGTGGGTGAGTGGGTTTTGGATTCCAATTATGGTGTTGGTATAATTATTATGGTGATGCATTGGTTTCTTTCTTTTTCTGTTTGGAAGTGTGTTGATTATTGTACAGTCTCTTTGTTTTGCTGATGATTTGTGGTATTGTTTTTGTATGTTGCCAGGCGTGAACTGTGTTTTTGGTGTATTTTGGTGTTTAAACTGCCTGGTAATGGTTTTATTATAATGAGAATACAGACACACTTTGTTTGTGTATGAATGCCGAGTGACATATTCGAGTGTGTGTAGAGACGTTTATTTAATATTGTTTTGATACCATTTGTTTTCCACTTCTTCTAAATTCAAGGTGTTGTTTCAATATCTGTGTAACTCTGGGTGTGTTTTATTGTGTGAGTGGTTTACTGTTGTTCCCCTCATTGGGATGTGTTTGATTGCTGTTGTGATGTGTACTCTCACTCTCTCTCTTTCTCTGTAGAGCTGTGTACCCACTGCCTTGTGTGTGTTAAATGTGCGTCTACTTTTCTCCTTTTCCTCTTCTTCCTTGTTACCATAGATCCAAGGAACTCACAGTGACAATCATGACAACGATGTTCGTCCAACTGCGCCGTATGGTGTACCTGTTGGTACTTCTGCAATGTTGTGTGTGTGTGGTGAGCTCTACTGGAGCGGGAGAGAGGGATGAGGCCACAAGAACGAAAGAGAATGTGGAAAGAGCAGTAAAAGATGGGTATGAAATGCTTGCACAAGGGAAGAGTTGTTTGTCTTTATTGAAGAAAGAAATAGAAGGAGGTAATGAGAGTGTTTTGGATGCCAAAAAAGCTACCGAGGATACCGTTGGGATTGTTGATAGGATTGAGGGTAAGAAAAATGATCGTGGGCAGGTTCAAATACTTCTTGATGAAGTCACGAGGGCAATGGGTGATACGAAAGACGCTGTAAGTAGGGCAACAGTTGCGGTTGGACGAATAAAAGCCGCAAATCAGGCATGCCACGCTTCACGAGGTAACCTGGGTGAGTTTTTGAAACAATTCGAAGGCAAACGAGAGGGACTCCAGGGTTATGTGAGAACGACGCAAGATGGAAGACAGGGTGACATGGAATTCGAACGACTCTATCAGGAGAGCACCAAATTGATGGGAGAACTACAAAATGTTAGTGCGGAGATTTTCCAGAGGGGTTGGAAAGGCGTCGATATGATGAAGGAAGAGGTGAAAACACTGGAAAAGGCGATAAAGACATTGAATGATGCAAAAAAAAAACTCGAAACACTTGCATCAGGTCTCGAACTTAAAGGGGGAGACGGAGGAAGGAACGTGGCGATCCAGAACGTTACAAAGGTAATAGAGGAAGTTGCAAACAATGGTGAAGTGCAATTAAAGGTGGTCTCTCAAAAACCAAAAACGGATATGAAGGGTAACGAAGTAATAGAAGGGGTAACAGTGAATGTAGTCGGTACTCTTAAGAGAGTAGATCAACAAAGAAAACAACAAATGGTGGATGAAGCGGTGCAACTAAAGGAACGGATCTTCAAGGGAGTGAAGGAGGATCTACAGAAGGGAGAGGAGGATGAAAAACAACGTATTGCGGAGACGTTCCAGGCCGAAGAGAACGCGAAAAAGGAAAGGGAGAGACGAGTTGCAGAAGAGAAGAAGAAGGAAGAAGAGAGGAAGAAGATCGAGGAGCAACAAAGAAGGGTCGAAGAAGAAAAAATGAGGGTTGAGGAAAAAAAGAAAAAAGCTGACGAGGTAAAAAGGAAGGATGAGGAACGGAAGAAATTGGAGGAGGGAAAGAAGAAGATTGAAGAGCAGATAAGAGAGGCTGAGGAAGAAAAAGCGAAACTCACGGAGAAGAAGATGGATGGAGCTGTCAGTCCTTCATTGGTTCACAGTCCCTTACTGCTTCTTCTGTTGTGTGTTGGGTTGCACTTTCGTTTGATGATCGGTGTTCCCATGACACGGCTGCACAGTTAACCTTTGTTTGAGTGGATATGGATGCATTGTAAGGAAAATGTTCTTTTTATTGAATTTTATTGTTTCCTTTTTTCAGATTGACAAATCTCTTGTTTGTATTTTTTTGCTGGACACATCTATTGGACTCCCTATGGCACCCATCACATGACAAACCATTATTTTGTGAGGGGAGTGTCTTCTTTGTTTGTTCGCATTATTATCTGGGTTCTGCTTTGCCGCCATTTACTGTTTCCTCCTGGTGATGTGTGTGTTCCGTGATATTGATAACTATTGCTTTTACCCATGGGAATGGGATACAATCCCGATGTGTTTTAATTGCTGTGACTGAAATGTGAAGAATGGCAGGAGGTTCAAGACACACAAACACGCACACTACCAACCTTCCTTCTCCTCCTTGTGTGTGTAGACTGTCATCATGTGTGCATCATTCCCACTGCTCGCCCTGTACGAAAGACACACACACACCTACTGTGGGGAATTGTGTTATTGCCTCCTGAACATATTCACATGGTGATCACAGCTTTCTTTTCTTTTTGTTTTCATTATTTTGTTTTTCCGTGTGTGCGTGTGTTTCATTATGATTTCATTGCACGTTATGTGCAGATGTGTGTTTTTCTTTTGCGTTTCCGGTACACCTTGTGTATCTTGTGTGTTCATTTTTATGGAATGATTCTTTTTTTCATTATATACAAACTGCTGCAGGGACATCAAGAATAAAGATATGGGCACGGCAGGTTCAGTACACAATGATTTTCCGTTGTTAACCTTGGGGTGGATTGAACTGTGTCCAGGCATGGCAGTCACATTAAGTAATGAATTTCTTTTTTTTTCCTTTTACATCTTTGCTCTATTATTGTGTCTGCCTCATGCAGTCACTCTTTTTTTTTTACATTTTTATTTTGGTATAAAGATTGGTGGGCTGTAGGTGTTTGAGTCGTTTTCTGTGAGTTTTTGGGTTGCCACTCACACCGCCCACGCAATGAAAACACATTTCTTTGTTCTCACCTTCTCTCTCGGTGGTGTCACTCGCGGTATTACCACGAACATATTTCTACCTCTTTGGTGTGTGGTTTGCTTGAGTGACTGCAACCTGCGGGGAGGTGGAGTGAGACTGTTCCGCTTCGGCTTCACGTAATGAGTCTGTTTGTTTTTTCTTTCTTTTTGGGTGTGTTGATGTGCTGGTGTGGGTGAATGTTTTTCTCTGATGGGAGTGGCAGCTATGATTATTGTATTGTGAGTGCTTTCTGTGCTGTTGGTATCCTGTTGTTGTTTTCTTGTGTTTTTCTTTTCCTCTCTGTGGTTGTGTGACTCCGTGTACATTTTAGTGAATGCCGTAGTGCCTCTCTGATATGAGCATGTGAGACAGTCATTGTGTGTGTGTGTGCACTGTTAGTGGGAAGGATATTTTGTGTTGCTGGACCACTCCACTGCGGCCTCTGTGGGGTGCACTGAATGACGGTGTGGTGATATCCATCGACGTGTGTGTGAGCGACTGGAGTGGGGGTGTAGTTCCTTTACGCTAGTCCACAGCCATGCGGTGCGATTGGGTTCACACATGAATGGATTAATGAGATCCCCTCTGTCCCGAGTTACTATCTAGCGAAACGACAGTCAGGGGGAACGGACTTGAAGGGCGGGGCAGGGAGAGAAAAGACCCTGTTGAGTTTGACTCGGGTCTGGTTCTGGACTGGCTGGTCGGTGGCATATGTACTTGGTACTGTCATCACTTTATAATTTGGTTCACATAATTTATACATGTGTACTAGTGTGAGATTGCGAAGGGATCTCGCAGGTATCGTGAGGGAAGTATGGGGTAGTACAAGAGGAACTCCCATGCCGTGCCTCTGGTTTCTGGAGTTTGTCGAACGGCAAGTCCCCCGACGCTATCGCACGGTAGTTCTCGGCTGAACGCCTCTAAGCCAGAAGC